GTGCGAACACTGAGGCATGCCAGTCTGAAGGAGGATCGAGGGCTCCAAATGGAAGGCGATGAACTGGAATGGGCCGCTTGCTTGGACATGGGCCTATTGACAGGGTAGGAATGACGCTCCGCGTCCATCTGTGAGTTGAAACTAAAAGACAAGCGACTATTGAAGCAAGGTGGGGAAGGGCCGAGAATTGGGGGGTTGAAAACTGGGGATAAAAGTGAAGCTGGAACGGGAGAATAAGGGGGGGAATAAGAAGACGGAAAGTCTTGAGCAGTGGCATCCAAACCCCTGTCCACCCTGCTCGATGCAGCAGATAGGGCACCGTTGATTATCCTCCGCGGTGGCCAAAGCATCAGAAATTTGATTGAAGTGATTGAAGAGCTGGGGATACTTGTAGTCTTCTAACGTAGCATTCACGCCTGTAGATTAATCTTTTCATAGACGGATTATTCCGTTTGCTTTCTTGACAATCTCAAGGGAGCGGCCCAAGTACGGTAATCGGTCGGTTTGATAACTCCGGCTGCCTGTATCCTGTCAAATTCTTGGTCGACGATTGAAATGGCTGCATATAGAACCGGTTGCTTCGGTCTAAAGATTGGCTTTGCGTCTGGCCCTAGGGACAAATTGACATTGGTTTTCGTGCACAATCCAAAACCATCCTGAAACACTTGCGAATATTTCCTCTGTATGGTCTCCGTCCAATTCACTGCTGCGTCGCTTTATTTGTTGCACACTGAATTCAAGGGAACATCCAACGAGTTCATATTGTCAATTTAGTCGAGTCCGAGTAGGTTCAGGTCTGGTGTTTTGTTACTTAGCAAGGTCTTTTTAACTGGCAATATTTGAACATAACAGATTAATAACTTTCACTGACCAAGTATAGTTGTCCTCCTAAAGCACTGGTTGCAATCAGAGTTCACCGATTTTCTTACAAGTTTCCCCGGATATGACCGTGGTATCTGGGACAGCGTAAATTTGGAAGAGCACGTGCACTTGGTCCACATCCACCGTAACGAGCCTATTGCGTTTTGCGTCCCACGCATCAGAAGTAGTAAATACAACACAAAGCTGACATCTGTTTTGTCAAAGCTACACGGGAGCAATCTTCTCGGAATATTTGGTGGAGATGTAGTTGTTGAAACTAGCTGCACGGCAATGATCCACTTTGTGGCCTCGTTCGTTGCATTTCTGACAAAGATGATTCTTGAACGAGCAGAATTTGACGAGATGCCGTTCCCCACATTGTCAGCATGCGGATGGTGGTCTGTTTCACTTCACTGAGTTTTGGACCGTCGCTGAACTCACTGGTTTGACACCAGCACATCTAAATGACATGGACTGTGCCCTTGAACAATCAGGTTCTTGTCGTGCTTCATGTGTATTAACCTGTGGCATTCCGAGGTGCTGAACATCTGGTTGATGGACGGATCCTGCTCAATTTTGCCAAGCAGCTTCATGCGTATTTCGGCATCCTTTGGCGCTTGGAGAGCACAAACCAAAATTAGGGCTTGGACTGACCGTCCATCATTTCTTTTAGCTTGGAGCTCTCGCAATGACGGTTGACAGTACTCGAGTAACGAGCTTCGCGCAGCTGTATCGGACGTTGGATAAAGACTGTTCGCAGAAATGTCATTTAACAGAGGTGCACATTGGTCGAAGATAAAATATTTAAGGCATTTTGCCAATATGCGATGCGAAACGTGTGCTCCTTAGTTCCGATCTGCAAATCCAGTATGCACTTCCATCTGTCATCAGCATCGGCAAATTAAGACTGGAAAACGTCTTCATATCTTCTGAACCAAGATTCGAAGGTTTGGTCGGCATCCGAGTCACTGATGCTGTTGGCAACCGCATCCGCTGATGACTGCTGCTTTTCATAGTTTGGTATTGTTTGAACCGCAAACCGCTGAAAGATATTCTGGACAATCGTGTTCAGCCTTCTTCGAATTGCTTCTGTTGATGTTGAATTATTGCAGTTAGCTCCGCTGAAAACGACATTCTCTGGTTCTTCAGTTAAAAATTTTCCGTCACCAGTTATGGTCACCAAGGTCGCACTGGGCGCTTTGATTGTGTGTTCGAGGAAAATCTGTTTGCCCCGATTGGCCGATCAAAAAGCCTAGGTCGCAGATACGGTATACTGGCTGCCAGACACGCGATAATTACATGATGCGGATTGCTGATGTTTATATGTTCTTGCTTTGCTTTTTGAGCATTCTCTATTCCCTCTTGTTCTTCACTTATCAGTAATAGTATTAGGTTGTCCGTGAGCCTTCTTTTGACCAACCAGTGCGATTAATCAACTTGATTTCTGAAAGATGCCTGGTATTTGGTCTAGGCAGGTTTCATTGATCCATTCATTAGGAGGTGCTCTTCTATCACGGTGATCGATTTTTCACTTCATACGCATTACGTTTAAACGTTTCTCAAGCAGCGACCCAATTCTCTTCACAGTTTCAGCATCGGATTGTTAGATTTGTAATGCCACACCAGAATTAAGCAAGGGGCAGTGGCTCTTTAGTAGCGAGTCACATCCGCCATGTCACAGTGTTTTTTAACAGACATTTGTGGCTTTTTATAGGCAAAACCCCACCATGTCTTGGAACACTGCCGCCGAATCATTAGCAGGAACGGGATAGTCCCCAACCACCCAGCTGGTACCACTAGGTTGTTCGGCAGCTAGCAATCAACTTCATTAGCTTGCTGATGTACGTGTACGTCCAGTTGTTGAGTTCTTAGAAGTGACACCTGAATATCTTCATTATCTGCCTCCTTTGAAGGTATCACAGGTACGCTGGTGCGTCGTACCCATGCTTCGCTGCCACGGGGCCACCACTAGTCGCCTGTGAGCTCGCCCGCTTAAAACGGTGACCGTTCACTAACAAGCCATACATTCGAACCGATCAGTAGTCCTGATGTTTTCTGTACGTCCTATCTTCTATGTTGAGATAGACAGTCAATTACAACATCACCAATCAGTCCTTTGTCGGAACAGTTGTAGTTGTGTATGGAATGACGATCGGCGCATGTAGCGTGTGCTCCATTTTGTGAGACCTTGGACTGTTACCTTTTTCATATGACGCAAAGTGATTATTATGTAAACTGTTCTCATAGGCTCTTGGCTCGCCCACATACTGCACTCACCATTGTTTGTCAGCAGAAGTCAATTGTGATAAAACCAAAGCAGGTCGCATAGTTTCACTGAATAAGATCGTAAGTGATGTCGACTCTTTGTTACCTTTTACTATCTGTCGCCGTAGCTCTTCCGGTCTCTGGATGAGAAAGACTCGATATGGGTGGAGATTTGAGAGTATTTAGCGGATTTGGTACGATCTTGCTTTTTCTATCAATTAAAAACACCTGGGAGTTGCTTTGGAGTCAGGCTTTACTAGTTTTAACCTGGCTTCACTATTCCCTTTACAAAATGAGCGTTCCACTCTTCGCATCGGACGTCGACAACGATCTGAGTGACGCTGAAATGGACCAACTAAGCTAGATTCCGACTTCGCAATTTAGGCTGCGCTATTTTCGCATGCCGCTTACCATCTCCAGTACCAATCGCATGAGCATTTGCTTTGCTCTAAAACAGGTTGCTTTGCTAGGAAAACGATTGTTTTCCGGCTAACCAACTAATGAAGTTATGAGCACGTCTGCTCTTGAATCGATCGGTTCGTTGTCCCTGCATTTGGTTAGCTTGGAACCTGGGGACATGGCGCTACAGCATAATTCAAAGGTTACTTCTCATTTGCCTCTTGTTTTAGTGTGCTGCGGGGTTCCCACCGTGTGCTTATTCCTCTGACGCAGCTCCGAGTAAGCCGAGGGTTCATTATTTATCCGATTATTCTATCCGGAACGGATTTCCTCTCTTCCGCCTTTCTGATGGTTCCCAACGAGCCTTTGCGGTTTTTTACCGATAACTGATGCAGGTGACTCACGACCTTATGACTGGGTTTTACGCACTATTCCTTTTATGGTTTCTATTATTGTCTTAAAAAGTTGCGCCTGCTTCGCTCTTTGTGCCACCGTTTATGCGCTGAATGTGAACATTCGTATTCTTGTTTGCTACATTCCTAAACACGCGATTATCGACTGGTCACCACTTTGTCATCGGTGTATTTGTTCATCCCTCCGTGCTACTTGTTCTTCATCATAGGACTTGAAAGTGGACACTACAGACCAATGGTTACGAATCACTCATGCACCTGGAGTTTGCTTCCGGTTCACACTGCCTTTGGTTATCGCATTTCGTCCATCTTGAGCGCCGGTCTTCCGGTATGTGCTCACAACTCTGTCCAGAAAGGCCATTTTCCTTTCCCCATACTTTAGGTTTCGCTTCTATATGTTGTTGATCATTTTTACAATCGTCCTTTATTCCAGACCCGGTCTTAAAGCAGATAAATCTAGTAGCTATTTCTCTCCTTTCTTGTTCCGCCTTGTGGATTCAGTCCGCAATAACTCGACCGAATTCCCCCTCTTATTTTTCCTGACGCTTTTTCATCTATTTCTGTTTATATAGTCCCTCTTCCAAAAGCTGGTTATTTCTTGTTCTTCCTCCCTACCTCATTACTCTATTCGACTGTTCATTGATAGCTCTTCCATTTTGTTCCAGCTAGATGGGATCTCTAATAAATCTTACTGAGGATTCTTGTGAACCGGCATCCAAAGTACGTCATCCAGCCGTCTGTAGGATAATTGATCTCTCTTCTGGATAATACTAGGTCCAGTAGTCCTTAGTCTGAACCGCATGACTGTTCTTTTCCTTTACTTATTCGCGAGCACAGTCATTCATTTGACCTCTGTTGGTCATAAGCCAACTCACTGCTTTCATTGACTTTTCACAAACCAGGATATTAGGGTGTCTATTTGTCGTGTTAGCTTGTTTGACACTGAATTCAGTACATACTAGTGTCCGTTTATTGTCGCTTTTAGTTTTTGATCCCCATGAGTCCGCGGTGCATTTTTGTTGGTTTCAACTTAGTCTTCCTTTTTTATCACTTCTGAATTAGCAACGAGAAATGACCCGGTCCTTTGTGATGACTCAGAATTGGAACGCCTATGCCGAGCTGGATGTCAATATATTCCACGGCATCCCTTGGGTTTAGGAAATGCCGGTAACACCTGCTATCTGAATTCTGTCCTCCAATGCCTTCTTGCAACCGGACCACTTCTGGCCTACATAACCACGAAACACTCTAGCCCAAACACATGTACTGTTGCCACGGGCCAGGCTGCAAATCTTCAGTCGGGGCTAAATAAGAGCCGCTTTTGCGGACTATGTGCTTTGATGCGGCTACTGAAGGAGCACTCACAACGCTCGCAGTCAAGTGGTGCAACCAATTATGCTTGTTCGCTGGGCGGCCAGATCGTTCCCTCATACTTCGTTGGCAACGTCCGGGGTGAGTTCCTACTGACACATTCGATTTACTTGTGCTTTCACTTATCGCTAAATCTCCTACTCAGTTTGCTTATTTTGCGGTGCACAGTGTTGTTGGCTCGATCGACTCCGGGAATTACATGTTTCTCATCCTTAGGACCTTTGGTTTCTTGTACCACCTTGAATATTTTGACTTTTGGGAATTGCTTTTTCCGCCATAGTCACGTCTTTTCTCGGATCTGTAACATGAAGTCCACCATTACAACTTGATATTTGTTTTCCTGCTATTTGATCGTATAAATCCTTCGCGACGAGACTGAACCTTAACCTAATGCGACGGTTTGCATGTCTCAATGATCCATTCATCTGTGCTGGATTGTGCTTCTTAAATCTTCAGTGCCACCCATACCAGATTGTTCAATGGTTAGCAACCAGACAAACTATCTCCTGTCCTTCAAAGTTGGGGTTTGGAGTGTGTGGCTTCTTAGCCCGCTGACTCGCGGTTAGGATTTTTAACTCAAACCTTGATTGAGAACCCTGATCGTTCCCCTGTCCGGACTTGGGCAACCTGACAGTACCCTAGCCACGCGATACAATACAACGAACCTCTTTTTAAATAATTGCTGTTGCCGTCGCAGTGACTAATCAGCAGCATCCTCTCTGCTGCATCGAGCAGGACGAATAGGTGTGAGTGTACTTCTACTTAAGCTTTGCGGTCCTCTCATTTCTCCTCTTACGCCTTTTCATTTTTTTCCAACTTCACTTTCAACCCCTCAATTCTTGGCCCTCCCTTGCCTTGCTTTGATGGACGTTTCACATCCGTTTTATCATACGAAATCGCGGAGCTTCACTTCTGCCCTGTCGACAAGGCCACGTCCAACCACGCGGATGACCTCAGTTCATCCACCTCTGTTTGGAGCCGTCTATCCTTGCTCAGATTAACATGACTCAGTATGCATGCTTGGTTACAGATTTATCAACAGACAGCGCTTACCCGAACAGTAGAGGCCGTATCGATCCGTGTCTGCTGCTCATCGGAAACCTGGCGGTAAATTCTCACTGCGTCTATCCAGTGATAATGCAGCTCCGAATGTTAGTCAAGCCGGCCTGGGCATTACTGAGCTCCCGGGCTGGAGCTGCTGTTGTTGACTAGATCTCAAACAATAGCCGGGTGTGTGCCCTTTCAAAACCAATAAGTGTCTTTTTGTCACTGATGCATACGTCTCCAAAAATTCTAGTGCTGACTCGGTAATGGATGGCATTTCACACTAATTGAACTAGTTTCGTCATTATGGCAGAAGCGCAGATACTGTAGTGTTAACAAATGCTTTAAACGCTCCACTTGGGAAATTATACTGTGATGAGTTATATCTTAGTGCTAAGCATTGCGTATGTTCTAGTAAAATGACGGTGAGCCGTTGGTACGCCTGTGGAAGGAAGCTCGTCTATTTCCGCGAGCACAAACTTCAGACATTGCACGCGCAGAACAGTGACATGACATCCACCAAAATCACCGCCTGCAAAGTCCGCAAGAGCTTTGCTTTACTTTACCAGCCCGATTGTTCCCTCTTGATGACTCAGTGATCCTATTCCCACCTCTTTCCACCCTCCGAGCTAAAAACGTGCTTTTCGTGCTTTAGACCATTAAATGCTCAACCGAGTATCGTTTTACATTTACTTCAATTGTATGCACTTTTCTTCTACCTGTCTACTTTTACCATAACTGTTACTGTTATTTGTTTTCGCTGCCGTTGCAAACCTAGTCGTGAGTCATCTCTTGTATATTATTCTGCCCTTTAGTACCACCATTACAAGATTATAATACATATTCTTCTGTCTTGACCGTTTTATGCCCAGACCGTGCATATAGTCTAGGTTTATAGCTAGAAATAGCAATATTTGTATATAATAGGTGCGACCTATTTCGATTTAGGGTGTTCCGTCGTTACATAAGTTGACTAGTGCAAATATGTCTACTGAAAATATGTATGATCTTGATTTTCAACATTACCATGAAGTTAGTTCTACTGTTGGACTTTGGAGTGCTGAAGAAAGAACTACGTTACTGGTACCTGCTTTGAGGTTAAAATGTCTACTTCCGATGTTTCTGAGAAGCGAATTACGAAATTCGATTTATTACCTACTAAAGAAATACTATTTGCCTCACGTGGAGCAGATAGTTTCTCATCAAGTGTTCTTCTTAAAGCGCCGTTTATGCAGTCATTTAATGACGGCGCGGAGGCGTCACCCTTGATCGCGTTAGTCGTTCGGCAACCCCAGGGTTTTCGGATCGAATCCTGGCGGCGCGCTCTGGCCTCTGTGAGGCTGCTTTACGCAACGATGTCTTCGAACCCTCTTATTGCCTCCCAGAACGCGAGCTGATCACGTTTGATGACAATCCAGTTCGGTACTGGATCTTTATACCCAATGGGTATCATACGGAAGCGCTTTAGATGGCCTCATGTGATGGCTAAAACGCATATTAATCCCTTAACTGATGACCCGAATATCAGACCAAATGGTTTTACTGCTTTGTCCCGTTTAACTGGGGACCTCCGATCATGCTACCTAACATTGAATCAATTAAACTATAAAGCTGATTTAAATGCATCGAGAACAATTGGTTCTATTGTCAGTTGGCTTCCTAGCCACCTTCAGTTCAAGTGAGGCGACTACGCTGCCGAGATTATCCGGACAGAGAGGGAACCAAACTTCTTCGATCTAACCGAGTTTATGGATGAGACTGCTGACATCATTGACACATATCTATGCTTTGCCTCACGGTCACATGGAATATCATCCAACGCTGAGAAAAGTGACGCTGTGAAGCCTCTCGGTAATGTATCCCGTCTCAACGCCTTCACTTCACTGGAAAGGTTTCACCGTAAGTGAATTTAATGCAAAAGACACCACTGTTTCGATTAATGTGACGACTTTCGCAAGCTTAGCCGCCAAGAACGCTTGAAATTTTTGTCGTACCAAACAGATATCTCAGTTATGCTTGAAGCCAAACCACGATTATCTCAGCTGCCGTTCATGCAGGATTTCTAAGTTACATTTCTGTTAAGGTCCACATCATCCGCTGCTCCACGCTGATCAGAATGACAAGAATGTCACGAAAGATGACACCCATAGTTCTAATTTTACATTTCACCATATTGACTTCGCATGTGTCCTCAGGCGTACTATTAATATTCATTTCTGGTCCTACTGGCACAGTTCAGACATTAGCATTGATAGATAGTGGATCAGACAGTTCATTAGTCGATTCAACTTTACTGCACGAATTCAAGGTGCGAGGGACCGTGGCGACCTTAAAGATTCGCACGATTTTTGCTCAATGTGAGATGGAGTCACAACTGGCGAACCTAAAGGTCTACTCGCTGAATAGAGACGAGACCGTTAGGCTGAAACAATTCAGATCACTCAGTAGTCTTCCTCAAGCAATTACCGTAGACACCGAAAAGAGACTTACGGAAATAAGTTCATCTATCTAACTTGGAACTACCGGAGCTAGAGGGAAACGTGCGACTTTTGCTTGGAACCGATAATTCCTATCTTCATTGGATGTTGGAACAGAGGCGCGATGGTCCTAGTGATGTGTACTCCATCAGAACCCCAATCGGTTGGGTTGTGTCGGTTCCAACCAAATTACTAGCATCAGTTCTGGGGGAGTGCCCCGAGAAGACACATTCAATACTCTTTCCCTATGTTAAAAATTTTCATTCTATGGGTCTCGGTTAGAAGACCAATAAGTGCACGAATAATTGTCTCCTAGTCTTTGACCCAGCCGAAGATATGATCGCTGGGAATCCCGAGCACACACTACCACGGGAACCCCAGGGTCCTCATCCTGATGTCTGGAGCCTCGGTATTACTGTACTAGTTTTTCCTGTCCATTCTCCTGACAATGATTTTATCGTTGTTGGTCTGCCTGTTGCATAGGTAGGTGTGCCAAGTAAGACTGCGCGATGGCAGGAGATAACCGCACATAAGAGAGCCAACCACAACAATTCTGCAAGCACTTTACGTCAGTCTACTGCCGTAATAGATACTTTAACTGTCGGTGATGATGTGTCACTTTCGAACAGTCGACATCATTAGTAAAGAAAGGACTTCTTGAGGCAGCGACAGTGTGGGATAGGGGTGCACACGTGCACCACGATGAAGAATACCGCTTTGGAATGCCTGTTTGCCGAAACCCACGACATCCGTTTATCAAATACTATCGCTCTGACTACGATTTCCATTTCAGAGCCATCCGGGACTGTACTGACTTCTTACGTGAGCAACTTTGATTGCTACAACACTACCGATACAGCTAGAAATAAGTGGTCATGTAGAGTTAGGTACCTTAGGGAGATATATGTAGCGATCGTTAACATTTGACGCACTTCAAAATGTCTGTGGCTAGAAGAAATTGCTCGAAACTATGCACGGCTCAAGGACTAGTTGAGAATGGTGTAGGTCATCGGTAGGAACAGCGAACTACGTGCAACACCTATCAGACAACGCTATACTGAAAATCGATACCGGAAGAAGGGCCGAAGATATGAAGCTTACAACAGGAGAGAATGAGCGCTAGGAGAGTGTAAAGACGCAAGAGCTTTGCTTTCCTTTACCAGCCCGATTGTGCCCTCTTGATGACTCAGTGATCCTATTCCCACCTCTTTCCACCCTCCGAGCTAAAAACGTGCTTTTCGTGCTTTAGACCATTAAATGCTCAACCGAGTATCGTTTTACATTTACTTCAATTGTATGCACTTTTCCTCTACCTGTCTACTTTTACCATAACTGTTACTGTTATTTGTTTTCGCTGCCGTTGCAAACCTAGTCGTGAGTCATCTCTTGTATATTATTCTGCCCTTTAGTACCACCATTACAAGATTATAATACATATTCTTCTGTCTTGACCGTTTTATGCCCAGACCGTGCATATAGTCTAGGTTTATAGCTAGAAATAGCAATATTTGTATATAATAGGTGCGACCTACTTCGATTTAGGTTGTTCCGTCGTTGCAC